AAAAAATATCTAGTATCAGATAATTGAGGATCTCTTTCCGACAAAAAAGCAATCATTACTTCGAAGACAGTTCCTTATACAAAATTTATATATGGGATATTTGGTGAAAAGCATCCATTAAGGATCCCTGATGTGTTAGCTATTCTGGGTAACAACTATAAATAGTGCACTCCTGGGTCTGGGTGTTCTATTCAAAAGGATCTCTATAGGGCGTGACCGTGTCCCAGACAGCCTGTGTTATGATATAGTCAAGTGAACCGTGCTACGGTCACGATTATATAGATATATACATGTACTTTAATTTTTTCCTCAATCAAGCGAACTTCCATTAGTGTACGTTAGTGGAAACAATGCATGAAAAGTGCGATATTTGAGGTTATGGAACAGTGTGTTATGTCAGCTGAAGAAAATAAAATCGTGCGGTAAACAAATTAAAGTGAATTTTTTAGTTACGGTATAGCTGTATGTGCTGCGGAGTTGTCCCCCTTGTTAATTAAGACTTCTGTAATTCTACTATGAAATGTCTATGTACATATGTTTTATGTTAATGTAAATCACATGTAACTGAGACTATAATAATGAATGCACACTATAATATTACTAGGATTTCGATTCAAATTTTCGCACATTAATTGCCGTTATCAATTATAATAATAATTCAGGGACTAACATATTTTTCGCACACTACTTCAATTTCATAGTTGTGACACATTTTGAAGTCGTCGGCAAGGCGAACTGTATATAACTTACTGTTGTAGTGTATATATTCCGCCAAATAGTTCAAAAGTGATTAATAGGCAGGAAATTGATATTTTTGAAACCATAGAGATAGGCATTGAAAAATATCGAAATAATGGCAAAATCTTCCTAAATGGCGATTTTAATAGCCGAACATCAAACCAAATTGATTATTTATGTTTTGATAGGTATATTGACAGCGATCAGCTGTCAAATTTGACCCACGTACCACCGCGTGTAAGTAAAGATCACGTGACAGATGCTAACGGTACGAGATTATTAAGTTTATGTAAATCTTCAAATATGATAATCGCTAATGGTAGGTTAAAGAAAGATGCGAATATAGGAAATTATACTTTCTACAACAGAAACGGTTATAGCGTCGTTGATTACTTAATCTTAAATATCAATGATTTTGATATCATCTCAGATTTCGAAATCCTTCCACCGAACGAGTTTTCCGATCATACACCCGTTAAAATAGTATTTGACATTTCAACTAAAACCTGTTTAAAACCCGACAGTGCGCACGAGAATAAACGTGTTATTTGGGACGAGACTAAAAGTCAAGTATTTACGGAGCGTCTAGCCGGGCAACAAAGTGTGATTCAGTTATTATGCGAAAACATAGAGACTAACGGTATTGACAATTCAGTAAGTCAATTCACTACTTTAATACAAGACACGGCATTTTCAGTATTTAGCAAACAATATCAACACACATCGAATAATAAAAAAACGCAGTATCTAAATCACGATAGAAAAAAATGGTTTAATGCAGCGTGTTACGAAGCAAGGAAAAAATTCACAAAAGCAAGAAATCAGTTTGTAAAAAATAAAAATGATATGCGATTGCGAAATATTTATTTTGATTTAAAAAATGAATACAATAAAGTTAAATTCCGGGAAAAGAAAAAATGTAAGATAAACGAGGGTTGGAATATAGCAAATATCGCAAAATCTAAGCCAAAACAATTTTGGAAACATGTAAAAAAGCAATACAAGCCTCAAAATACTGGGACAGAAAATTTAAACATAAATGATCTCGGCCAGCATTTTCAGTCTTTATTTGGGGGTGAAAATATAAGTTTAAACAATTTAAACATACCCGAACAATATGATGCAGAGTTAGACTCAGAAATTTCTTTACTAGAATTAAAGGAAGCCGTATTTTCCCAAAATGATGGAAAGAGCCCCGGGCTCGATAATTTGCCCTCGGAAATATTTAAAAATTCATTTAATATCATTAGCTCTTTTCTACTTAAATTATATAACAGAATGTTTATGAATGCTGAATACCCGAAAACTTGGGGCGAAGGTATTATTATCCCAGTTTTCAAAAGTGGAAATGCGGATGATCCAAAAAATTATAGAGGTATTACCCTTATTAATATCTTGGGGAAAATTTATTCTCAAATCTTGTTAAATCGACTCACAAAATGGTCGAGAAAATACGAAAAGATTAACACTTACCAGTTTGGCTTTCAAAAGGGCAAGTCAACAGTAGACTGTATTTTTATTCTACATTCGTTAATTGCAAAAGTACTAAGTGAGCGTCAAAAGCTCTTTTGTATATTTATAGATTTTGAGAAATGTTATGATAAAATAGATAGGGTATTACTTTTAAACAAACTCTTACAACAAAACATTAGCTCTAGATTTGTTAGAACTATCAAGATCTATGTATGAAACAGTAAAATTTTGTGTGCGTCACAAGACAACGTCCCACTTTTTCGAATCGGGGGTAGGATTGAAGCAGGGGGACCCGAGTTCCACTTTGCTATTTTTATTTTTCGTGAATGATCTAAAAGAAAACATAAACTCAAATTTAGACGGAGTAATTAGTGTTAATGAAATTCAGTTTTTCCTTATCATGTTTGCCGACGATACAGCACTTTTTGCCACAAACCCGATATCTATGCAACTTATGCTAAATGACTTAGAAACATATTGTAATAGATGGGCGTTGAAAATAAATGCAAATAAAACGAAAGCGATGATTTTCGAAACAGGGAATAGGGGCTCAACGTACGATTTTTATTTAAATAGTATTAAGCTGGAACGTGTAACATCATTTAAATATCTAGGGGTATATTTTTTAAGAACAATAACTGGAACCGAACTCAGAAAAGACTCGCGCAACACGCGTCTTTTTCACTGCACAATCTTTTTATTGTATGCAATCAATTAGAACTGCCAGTGTCCCAAAAATGTAATCTTTTTGATAGTCTTGTAAGTTCTATCTTGAATTATAGCGCGGAGGTTTGGGGATATCATGAAGGTAAAGATATTGAAATGATTCATACCAAGTTTTGTAGAAAAGTCTTAGGGGTAAAAATATCAACTAACAGGGAATGTTTATATGGGGAGCTAGGACGATACCCGATGTTTGTGCATAGAAAATTTATAATGATAAAATTCTGGATAAAAATTTTAAACCTACCAACAAATAGTGCTGTTTTTAGTGTATATAATATGTTACGGTCAGATGCAGATAATCGAAAAAATTATAATGGTTCTAACTGGGCATGTTATGTTAAACAAATACTTGATGAAATAGGAATGACAAATGTATGGTTAAGTCAAGCAAATATAAGTGTAAATTTTCAGTCCATTAAACAGCGTATCCTTGATATATACAAACAAGAATGGTATACAAGTATAAAAAATTCAAGTCGACTTACATCATACGCGCTATCTTTAAGCATGACTTTGTTTTTGAAAATTATTTAAACTTTATAACCGATAAACGTTTCAGAATCGCATTATGTAGGTTTAGAACTTTATCTCATAGTCTTCATATCCAAATTGAAAGTTATATTACAACATAGGTAGAATAAATAGATTATGTTATAACTGTACCATGCATAAATTAGAAGATGAATACCATTTTTATTAGTTTGCCCTAAATACAGACATCTCAAACATAAATACTTTAAAAGATTTTATTGCCAATGGCCTAGTATTTTTTAAATTTGAATTGCAGAGCACCAAAAAGTACAGTAAACAAAGTTGCCAAATTTAGATACTTTGCGAATAATCTAAGAAATTAAAGGATGGATGGGTACGTGTTTAGTTCTCTGACTATTTTGTATGTTTTGTGTTTAGCTTCATTTCAAGTTCACATCAGTATATGATTGTAAATATTGGCTATATGCACCTTTCATGTGTTTAATGCTTAATAAATGTTGTTGTTGTTGTTGTTGTTGTTGTTTTTATCGTTACTTAAATTTCGAAGAATTGTCAATATAAACATCCTAAATTAATAGACAAAATATGTGATGAAGCTTTCAGAAATAATTCACGTTACCCAGGAAACGTCAGCTTTTATGTGATTAATTGACGAACTGCTAATCTGGTGTTGCGAAGTTTTCACTCCGGATCACGGCAGTAAGTCACATTGACTTTACCTGAGCACAGTTCAGCCAATCGAACTCGGGTCGCCCGATTCACAATCCAACGCTCTAACTGCTAATCTGATCCGAAATTTGGTTATTAATTTTTTTATATAAAGTCAACATGGTCAGCAGTTCGCCAGGATCATTTTTAAAGTTACCGAAAAAAAAATCGGGACACTATATCTCTTCCGAATGCACGCTTCTGTGTATATACGTTGTCACCCTGGTACGGAATTAGACCCAGCCCGTTGTAGTCTAGAAAGAAGTTCTTTTAAATTTTGAAATGGCCTATTTCAAGTCATCACAATTGATACTGGTTATATTTCAAGTATATTTTTAGTAATTATGTACATGAAGTTTCATTTCTGAGTACTTTGTTTTTGATGTATTTTTGCAGGATTTCATTTCTGGGTGGAAGGTTTCAGGAGCTACTATGCACAAGAATGCACGCCAGTTACTATTTGGACTATTCTTTAGCGATTACAGAAATTAAAAGCTGCAGAAAAACTCCAAGGGCTAATGTATTATTTTTTTGTGCTAAATTTACTTGGACTGCATTGGTGTTTAAAGAAATGGCCATGAAGTTCCGGTACCGGATATGCTTTGTCCAGAATTTAGCCTTAAATGTGATGGATTTACTATATGATATAAAGTACGAAAATTCAGTGGGCCGACTCCATCCATGTAGTACGACTGTTGTCGACAACTTCAACTGTTGTCCCGTTCGTCCATTATCACGTGTTAACAATGGTCATGTTAGAATAGCGGGTAACCGATGGCGACTATAAATAAACTACGTCTATAAATAGAATCAATCAACTATTTACTGACCCAGTCGAGTGTTATCGATTAACAGCTTATAGACGGGGTATGTACTTAAATCGTACGGTATTGTAATTGTAATAGCGGTATCGATTTTGAAGGATTAACAGATTTTTCTTTCAAATTTTTACATATTTCACGTTAAAACAGGATAGAAAATAAGAATGGATATAAAAAGACAGGTATGTTTGAAATTATTTTGATTCATTTATAAACAATATCAGATTTTTAAACTTGTTTATCTGTTTATAGCCTACGTAAATGATCAATCTAATAAATCTCGTTTTTTTTTGTTTGTTTTTGATCCACAAATCGGGTCAAGTAAATTCATTTACAAGTGGGGTATATTAGTCAATTATAGCAAACACAAGATACGGAGATTTCAATACAATCAAAGGGTAAAAGATAACTTTAAGTTAAGCCTATGCACTTTACGAATGTGCCATAAATAAATAAGACTGTAAGTGTTTATGCAAGGGTAACAGGCAGTATAATTCTAAGTTCACTTGGGACAACATATCTTATTTTACAGATTTAATTTCATCAATATTCAGTATTTATATACATTAGAAGTATTAAGATCATAGTAAAGTATAATATTTTATCACATGATGTCTTCTGTTTAATTGTAACAAGAAAACGAGTACTGTATAAGTGAATATTTATGCGTCACAAAAATTTTGCGAATATCAAAATGTGGAAATATTTGCGAAAAAAGGATTTTTTGAATTTCATACTGTTTTTTTGTGATATCATTAATTAAGCAGGTACATGTTAAGAATATGCCGTTATTGTAATCGTTCTATTCAGTTGTTTAATACCTTTTTCATTTATGTAATTGTTTGAAATATACATTGTTAGTTTGATAAAGAACCTGATTACACAATGTTTTTGTCATATTTTAAAACATTCTTTTGTTATATGAATATTCTAGTGTGTTAGAAATAAGTTTTGCATTACCATTTCACATAGACTAGATTAATCTTGACCTTAGCTTAAAAGTTATAAAAACTAATAATAATTGTAACAATTATCCAGTGTAAGATTCTTTAGCCACATATTGTTTGATGATACGATATCGGTTGTGTTGCTATTCATACGTTAATCCATGAAATTCAGTGCTAGATTTGTGAGATATTTATCGTATCATTCACTGTTAGTGTCACTTTTTACATAACCATAAAAATAGCATAAATTGACATTAAAATATATCTGACACAAATATTTGCAGTTTATCATAATTTTGCTTCAAGCTGCAATCATATTTCTACATGTATATAGTAAAAATGATAAAGTAAACAGTGTTCATCGAACCACATAAAATATTTTTACTCTAATCAATCACATCTTCTCGGACCTTCGATAAGAAGTTATTATTATTAATAATAGCCGAGATGTTCCGATTGGACTTTAATCACATCTTTTGGCGGAATGTGCCGTAAAGTTACGATTGAAATTCAACCTTTAGTCCATACCTAAGGTTTGACGGAAAGGGCCGATAAGTTACGATTTCCCTTTTCTTTACTGAAGTATATCCGTAGTTTGACGAAAAAGGCCGAGAAGTTGCGATTGCTGTAGTACCGCAGGAAAGTGACCAAGACAGACTCATTCAGGCTTTTCGGCATGATTTTGTGTCAATACAAGTAACGTGGCATTCATAAAAACCTATTATATCATACTTAAACCTTGACATAATGAAGTTGTTGACATGTTGTGACACTGTTATCTGTTTAGACTGACAAAACTCAGATCTAATTACAATTTTTTCCTTTTAGCTAAACTAATAGACTCTAAAAGAACGCCCTGCATTACATAATGACGACACGATATAAGATTTTGGGTTGATTACTGATAATATATATATAAATAAAAACTGTGTTTTAAAATTTCACAGTGAAAATTATTAATATATGACTTCACAACAACAAAAACAATAATGAAGAAATTAGATAAAATATACAGCAAAAAAAAAAAAAAAAAAAAAAAAAAAAAACGAACATGGAATTTTTTTTCTCCACAAAACGACACAACGAAAGCCTCAGATTAATGATAGTTTAGAGGGATATACCAGTCTAACACCCACCACCCAGGTGCCGGTGACATCATATTGGGACTACCATAGTGCTTCTTGAAGTTACTAGCAACATGATTAAATGTACATGTATATATGCAGCGTTTGTAAAAGTATAATTTGGCATAAGATATATCTTCCCAACATTTTAATGCGAATATGATATGTATTCAGAATAAATTATGCTGATATAAACAATACTAATGAATGATAGACTCTTTTTGGTATTAAAATATCTCACTTTCTTTTACATTTCAGTAAATATGATTACAACTAGAGACCTAGATAACTACATCTCTGTTACAGCCTAGTGAACTCCGATAACCGGCTCTCTGCGTAGACACACCCATACAGTGTAACATCGGCCACATGATCATTTGATCTCATTCAACCATTGAATCTCAGGAAGCCACAACAAGAAAGATGGGAATTGCAAAATCTTTCAGTCGTCTTCGATCTTTTCTCATTTACTGGTACTTCCAGTACGAACTAAATACCGCATTGTACATGCTCGAACCTGCAGAGAAGACTATAGTCAGTATCCTTTTTTGTCCAGCCCGGGTCCACAAAAGGCGCAGGTCATTTTCTTTGTGATTGATCATGAAAAACATTCTACGGTCATTCGCACTGTACCTCTTGTATGTACAGAAATTATCAGTTCCTTCTAGTATTGGTAACTTGCTTGACAGCCTGCCCTGGAACGATGCGGTGGCTCCACTGTGCTCTGGTGGATTCAAAGTGACTAACTGCCGTGATCCGGAAGGTAAACTACCCAGACCTTCAGCAGTTTACCCTGTATAGTATAACTCATATCAATCCATGATCAATCGCTCGATCGATTGATAAATCCATGCGTCAGTTGGTTGTGTCCCGTCGTTCGCCCGTCCGTCCGTTCGTCAGTCGATTGAAACAGACACGGTAATAAGTATTATTAATTGTTATAAAGCCTTTTTTTAAGGTACTGTAAATATAAATGCTGATTTACAAAGTCACTTTATACCTGTTTTATTGAATTAACTGTGTTAGATACACCACTTTTAGTCCATTACTAGATGTATTGGCAAATCTTAATAATCTACCTTCCTACTTTGCAAAAAATATATAACGAAATTTATAACAGAATATTAATCAAATAGATCTACAATTTAACTATGTCATGCAATGTACAGTGATAGCGATGAATATAACTTTCACGTATTTCTTTTTATTTCACATAGTTTAAAACGTACTCAATGGAATTCTGCACCGCGTGCTCCCTTGAAATAAAACATTTTCATTTTTCTAATCCAAAAATCTATATCAGTTAAATCTATTGTACTCCGTCTAACATTTTTTTCATCAGAGTAAAAAATGTCAAAAAAAATGGTGGAGTGAAATAAAATTAATAAATACAATTTCTAATGAAAACGAAAAAAAAATTCAATTCGATTATGACCTTAACCTAGATTTCAGATACGATAGCTGTTGCCATTGTTGGGCTAATTTTGTTTGCTGCTTTGACCTATTTACCAGGTCACCTGATCATGATGATCCATTTTCTACAGGGTACACATGAAAGCACGAGTTCCTGATATTATACATGTAGGGGGATATTGCAGTGTATTCAATATAGAAGTCATGTACGTGAAATTTTGTAAAAACGTGAACCATAAATGCGAACATTGGTTTAAAAATGTGAACATGATGGCTGGTGAAAAAATGAACAAAATTCATGTTATTTACATGTGACAAATGTTTGTAATCAATTCATATTTTTGCTGTGACTTTCTGTGTCATTCAACCATATATGTGATGATCCATCCAAAAAAAGTTAATTCAACAAAAGTTCGTAACAAAAATCGGCAATATAAATTTTCACCATGTATTGAACCGAGCAGACCCACCTCTTTCCGATTAGATACGGAAAGTAACGAATATTGCCGATTTTTTACGAGCTTTTGTCGGATAACATTATTTACCAGCAAGTTATGTTGCCATTCATGTGATAAATATATTTGTATATCTAAGTCTTTGAATTGTGCTGAGCTTAATAAATTGAGAACATTTGTTTAATTTTCGTTAAAGCATTTGTAATTTAAGAGAGCTCGCATCTTTTCACAAACAGTTCTCATTTTCAAGTTTCCATGTTATTAAGGATGTACATGTACTTTTTTTTGTTTTTCATGATAACTGACATAATTTATTTCCTTATGCACGTACATGTACTTTCATCTGGCTATTGTTTAATTTATTATTATCATATTAATATTATTTATTTTCTATGTACATATACATTTTTTTATTTAACACATTAAATTACCGTCTCACACAGTCAGCAAATATAATTAATATGTAATTCATTTTTCATTGAAAATTTGGTCATTAAAATGACATTATATATTGAATGGCTTGTTCGTTATTATTTTGAACCACTGTATTACTTTAAAGGCACGTTATCAATGAGAAACCAATAATGTTTTACTTCATTAGAAAAGGCACAAATGAAAAGCATAACGTTTAAATAAATAATGGTTTCAGAATATGACAGTTGCTTGTTTCCGGAAGAAAGAAGCGCTACATTAGAAGTTTTGTTCAAAATAATGCAGTAAAATGTAAGCAAAGTATGACTTCCATACACAATGCTAAATCACTATAATTTGATAAATTGCCAAAAGGCAAAAGCAGAAAAGGAGGAATCAGACATTTAGTTACGTACAGAGTAACGTTTTTGAAACGATATATTAAGTGCACCAAAAATTATAATTAAAACATATCTCGGGGGAAAAATGGGCCTATAATATGGGCCTACACGGGCAGGAGGATACATATCGTATCGTCAAATTTGAATCACTTACCCCTCGCCACTATAACCTTGAATTCCGCCAGGGACTTGGGACAATTTCATGCGAGGAAGCTAGTTATGGAGCTGGGTTACGATTGGTCGGTTGTTCGACCTTGTTACAACAGGGAACCTCCTGGTCCGACCGACGTTCCTCATCAGCGGAGTTTCGCCAGATTAAGTGTTTCTCTAAGCCGTTCTTCATTTGTTGACGGTAAGGAGTTGACATTTCCTCCAAGGCTGTTCCATATACATAATTATTCTTGTTATCGCAACCCTTCCGATTAAGTCATGAAATGTCCAATCAACCCTTCCGTTTAAGTCACGGAATATCAAATCAACCCTTCCGATTAAGTCACGGAATATCAAATCAACCCTTCCGATTAAGTCACGGAATATCAAATCAACCCTTCCGATTAAGTCATGAAATGTCCAATCAACCCTTCCGATTAAGTCATGAAATATCAACCAATCATTTTGGCGCCATTATATGACAGTAATGTCGAAACGCCACAATCATCATTGGTTGTAAGGATAATTAAACTAGACCTGTCGTCTGCCGCGACAAGCATGCATAGGGAGGGATTCAGAGAAGTTTGTGTGTAGATAGGTTAATTTATACGCAGGAATTAACCATATAGGCCAGATTATCTGCGCATTTACTGGTCCGATCGTAGAGTCCACATCAGCGGCGGCTTTTCGTGCCGAATCTCCCCGGAACCTGTTCTTCGCTCGTTGGTGATTGGAGAAGTCGACTATATGAATCTTACACCGGCTGCCGGTACAGACTGGAATATCTAGCTCGAAGGTGACTGTTCACGGCGGTAACGAGGCTCTGCCGAGTTTCCGCTTAACAGTTACCCAAGAGCTAGATATTCCCGTCTGCACCGACAGCCGGTCATTTTAGAATTACAAATGGAAATCCGGGAATCTCATTGGCCACTTTAAAATTAGTGTAATTATCTATTCATGTCCAAATAATAAAATAATATAAAGGAGTTTCGGAATCAAACTTTACAGTTAATTTTCTTGGATATTTGAAATTTTTGAACTTCCTCCCAATAAATAATTTACACTTCTTTAAGATTTTACATTAATTCATAAGAATTCATAACAGTTATATATGACATTCTAAAATGACGAGACTGCCAATAACGTCTATATGATCCCGGAAAAAAACATGTGCGTACCGAAAGACACCATGCAAGTAAAAGCAGTTTTACGTCGTCCGAGTATTTTTTAAAAAATACTTCTTGTTTATTATTTGTCATTAACCCACATATGTATGACAAGGTTCATTACTTTATCATTTTTATTTCAAGAGGAATCTTCTCTGAACTAACATATTATATCTTTGCTCTTAGTTTTATCATCTTTGTTACTGAAGAGATTGACTTCAGATTTCAAATCGTTGTTCTTTTTTCCATAAGAGAGGAGATATTTCTGTTTTATTTTCATTGACATGGACAAATGCATGTTATGTTGTGCAAAAAGTGTTGAACATTTGAGTGCTTTATTGATACTGATACAGAAATATATTTATATCATAATTGATTTTTGTCATAATTTTGCCGTCTTTTACTGCATACAGTATTTAATTAGTCGAGCGCGCTGTCTCCTCTAACAACTCTTGTAACACATTTCATGCACTTTACTCTTCGTAGGTCACGACTTTAAAGGATGTAAATAGACAGGTATGTTTGAAATAATCTTATTTTTCTTTAATTTGTCAAAAGTATATCAGATATACAAAGTTACTAAACAACGCTGTGCTTAACGCTTTGAAAAATACCCGTGGCCAATAAATCTCAGTTATTTATTTATTTGGTTTCACATGTGGGTCAAGTGAAGTAGGCTATACAAGAGGAGCTAAAGAGTTCAACACTGACTTCCAAGAGTTTGCTACTGCACTTCACGAATGTGCCATAAGTCCAACACTATAACGTTTACATTTATAAAAAGCCTACCCCCTATTTTTTTTTTCCCAATTTTTAATTGGGGGCCTTTTGGGGGAAAATTTTTTTTTTTTGGGGGCAAAATTTTTTAAGGAAGGGAAAAAAAAAAAGGGAATTTTTGGGGCCCAACGAAAAGCCCGAAAAGGGGGCCCCTTTTAAGGGGTTTTTAAGAGTTTTTAGATTAGGGGTAAACCCTCAGTTTTAAAAATTTGGTTCTTCGAGTTAAAATTCTAAAATTTGCACAAAATTTTTTTATTTAAAGTTTTTATTTAAAAATGATATGTTTTATGGGTGTGTCCCCGAAACTTTTCTTTTTCTCTTTTTAAACCTAAATTCCTTTAAGGGTTTTTGAAAAATTTTAAAAGGAAAAAACTTATAAGGGTTTTCCACGACGTGTTTTTCTTAATTTAAACCCTTAAATTTTGCGATTGTGTGTAAAACTAAATGTTCTCAATAAACATTGTTTAAGGAACTAAAATCAAGTACGTTGAAAGATAGCTTAAAGTAAAAAAATTAAAATAAAAGAGAAAAATGCCTATTCCGGGATTTCAACCAGGGTCTCTACACTCACGAAGCAAATACTTCACCACTACGCTTTATTACGCTGAGCTGATAAAAGTGATGGTTAAAGATTTTGACGATAAATAGTATGCTTTTGTATATACGAATTTTCAACACACCTGTGTAAACAGATAATGGAAGGAATAGCGAATTCGAGCTGTAGCTAGTGGTATTAAATTACAATAAACACTGAGAAATTGACAGTACTAGTTTTTCTTCAAAAGTGTCTTCTTACAGACGTAAGAAGAACGTTGGCTAGGATAAACAACACATTTTCCGATAAATTGTTGTTTGTCTGCTTCACGTCTGTAAGAAGACACTTTTGAAGAAATTACGAGTAACTGTATCTGACTTATACGGCGTTAAGTGTAAAGAACAGATAAATTAATATGCGCAAGTTGATATCTCCAAAATTACTGAATAGAATGGCTTTAAACTTCACACACTAATATAAGAGGTTGCTCCCCAAAGCCCATTAATTGTGGATTTTATGCATGTTTTTGAACTTAGAAAATTCTACATTATCCAGGATCAAATACTGGAAAAATCGAGCGCACTGCTTTCGTTTTAAAAGATAAGTAACGAGATATAAACTTTTTGAAGCACTGGTAAATGTAAATAACCTTTCAGTAAAAAACATGTGAAAGTTAAGGTAATCATCTTGTTAAAGAATTTTTCTTGCATTTTTATTTTTTGAGAATTTAAATTAAGCATTCGACAAAAAATTTAACGTTGAATTTCCGCCAAAAGGGTTTCCCTTCGAGAAAAATTTAAAAAACGCTAAATTTTTCTAAGACACAAAAAAGAGTTAGAAAACAAAAAAATTTATGCCAATGTGACATTTAAAATGCCCAAGTTTGGACCCCAGTATATTTTTTAAAAAGTTTTTCTTTTTTACAGAACGATAATTTTTAAAAACTCTGCGGGGGGTTTTTGTCGGATAAATTTCCCAAAACGCTCTTACTCGGCAAGTAATTAGTGTAGCCACTTTTTCATGAAGAAACCAGTGCTGATAGTGAAAATTGTGATTGGCATATTTTAATTAGCCAGGTCAGGTGTTTCTAAAAAAGGCTGATAACACTGTAGCAATGTGAGGATACATTCAAATTTATTACATAGATAATGCACGTGGAGCTCAGCTCGCAGAGACAAATGAGAACACAGTAACTTTTTGATATCCTTTTAACTCTAAGAAAAAATGTCAATTATATATTTGCTGACTGCTTTATATTTTCTAGAAAAAGTAAGCAAAACATTATTTTGTTTCATATGACAGAATGAATTGCATTAAACAATCCTAGGTATTGTTGAAAAGTCATTGTTTACATGCCAGATTAAGTAATTGGACCCCATCCTTGTTTGTACGTGACTGCTGGGGAAAATAATGTTATGCTTAATTTAAAGAGGTGACACTTTCTATATTTTTATCTGATATCGAGTTGTAAGAGCCGATTTGCAGTTTATATGGGTAAGAGTTCCGATAAGACTCCCTACGGTCGTCTTAATATATGTTGAAAATAAGACGTCAGTAAATAATCTTGTTACTGATTTTACGTCAATTATACAAGATATTGCCAAAACCACTGTTTTTTAAATCACATATTGTTAAAAAGGGATGCATCATTTTGTTTAAAATAATGAAAAGAATAAAAGACTGGTTTGATTATGAATGTGTGCAGGCGAAAAAACACTTATTTAAACGCTTTGCGTAAATTTAATATGACCAAAAAGCAATATTGATAGGGAAGAATTGTGTATATTAAAACATAACTTACAAAAGACTGTAAAATTTAAGCGTATTCGTAATAGAGCTTCAAAGATCCGAGAGATTGAAATGTTGCGTTACTCGAACCACAAAGATTTTTGGAAATATTTTAAAAGTAATAATAATGTTAAAAACAATATTTTCTATTGACGATTTTTTCAAATATTTTCCGAATTAGGTTGTCTAAAAAAAATTGAATCTGAAAGGCTTTGTGTCAGGGTACGAATTTTGACGATTTGGAGCAAGGGAGGCAATTTTGGGAATAAACCTTTTACTGTGA